TTTCAATTTTATTGAAGAAAGGGCTAACATATTTCATACTGTGTTTTTGAAAGCAGCAGGTGTTTATTTACACTTTGTTCCCCTCTGGGCTCCCATATTGTGCCGATGTCAGTTTTTGCCTGTACACAAGACTTGACTCAGTACCGAATGCTGCAGATAGAGGTAATCTCATTGAGTGCTGCTGGCCTGTGATTCAGTTACCAGACACCAGAAGCCATATACATGCTTGTTTTACGGATATTGTTCATGCAGGATTTAGCAAAGTAAAATCTGTATGATGATGAGAATATGCTGCACATTGAGGAGACAATTTTTGAGGAGATTTTACAAATACACTACTGTACTTCTCAACATAGCTCACTGAGGAGATATAAATCTTGGCCTGGATTAACGGAATAAGAATATAAAGAATATCCATCTCATAACCTTAGTGTTATGTGACAAAGACTCAAGCAGGTGCAAGCCGAGAGTGACACTTAATTGCTCAGGGCCTGCTTTACAGTTTGTGTTTACATTTGGACATTTCAAACAAAAACATTCACAAGTAGTCCTGCATCGTCTTTCATAATAGCGCTCAATGAAGCATAAACAGTATGTTAAATTTATTGTTGTTATTGTAGTTGTTCTTACTTGTGTTGTTCCCACACACCATCACACTCACATCATATAGTACATCTTTTTCTCCCCAGCAGTGCAGGCTGTGCTAAAAGAACATTACATCATCGGTTTCATATGGCCATTGATGCATGACTGTGCTTTAATGTGTAGGAAGATGGCTGGGTGCTTTGGTTAATCTGCAAACAACCATATTAATGCCTGACTTAGAATATTCATTTCATCACCCTGTTGTCTCTTCTTCAGATGAGATAGCAGATGAGCTGCTTCTAAATGGCACTGCCTGAGCCTAAACTCACACATCATATATAATATAATGATTGATCAGTTTGCCTTGGACAATTTTTTAGGCTCGCAGAGGATGACATTCATATTGCAGAGAGCAGTGAAGACATAGAAAGCTCAGATCAGTGTCACCTCTCATCTTTTCTGTAAATCACTTTTTCTGTCTATTGACCTTTCGCAAACCAGAATGCCAGAAACCAGCATGTGCCGCCTTTAAGACACAGCTCTTTGTACAAGAGAAGAAATGCATTCACCACCAAAAATAACCTGATAACATCCAAAAACTGTGTCAAGTAAAAAAACCTAATAGCCTGGATTAAGACAAGATGAGACACTGTAATATGTAGTTTATGTATGTGCTGCTAAATTGTATTGTAATTATATCATCCATGGCCTCAAGAGAGACAGACAGGCCAAACAGTCATTTTCAGGCTTTAGGGATGGCACAGTCAGTCCACCACTTTGGTCCATACTGAAATATCAGTCAGTTCAAGTTAGTGTGGGCTCATTGCTTAGGGCTTAGACTGCGTTCACATACATATGCATATTTGTTTTGTGTTCAAGCATTTTTGTATTTTTAGGTCCTAATGTCGTGATATTGACATGGAAGTTGACATGAACGCTGTTTATAAGTCAGAAAACTCATAATTACAATAACTCCAATATAACATGAACATTGCATTAGGGTGGACTTCAGAACTGAGCCCAAAGTCTCGCTAGCTGTTCTGTAAGGCTGTAATCAAGAAAATCAAACTGTAATATGGATACAAGTTGAGGTCTAAAGTTTTTTTTATGCTTTTCAGTGGAGGAAAAGTAAAATCTTCCCAGAATCAAGGCCTTTTTTAATATTGCTCAAACATGTAAAAATAATTGGCAAAGCATTTACAGGTCTGCAAGCATCTCTTAAACACCATGCTCACCGTGTTCATTCTTTCATTGCTTGATGGGGATTGTGGACAACAAGTTTTAAAAGTTGTGAAGGACATTTTCGTGAGCTACAGTCAACTTTAGCAATAAAGAAGGTTTCAAATAACTCTGGATGTCATAAGCAGAGATATTAATTGAAACTTGGCCAAGGAGAATGGCAACAGCAATACAAAGTGAGGACACACTGCACACATCCCTTCTTGTCGGTCCGAGGCTTTTTCTTTACTTTTCAATGGAGCCAAAGTAAAAACTGGCCAGAGGATAGTGTCAGAATCAAAGCCTTTGAGAACCTATTAAATAACTCTGGCCATAATCTCCAGTCTCAAGCATCAAAATCAATTGCTTTGTAGACCCATCCATCCGCACTGCTGCTGTTTCCTGTTTCCTGTTTCCTGTTTTGATACTGAATGTAAGCATTCTGTAATTGTTCAGCTGTTTTAAAAAAACAGCAATTGGTTTTTAGAAAGGTCCATCTTTGCAGAAGGGAAATCTAATATGATTTGTCAGGTAAAAGTTCATAACAATGGGATACTACCATGTCTGATTATCTGATATCTGCGTACACACACACACACACACACACAGGTTTATTACCCTTGCAAATTTGAAATTCCTACACAGATCCACAAACCGTCTTGTTAGTGAGCTGTATGTAAAGTACAAATCACCACGAGTTTCCTTTTGATGCTCTGGTTTCCCCCCTCATGATAAAGACATGTAGGTTAGTTGAACTGGCACCTCTAAAATGCCTATGTAGGTGTAAATGCTTTTTGGCTGTGATAGTCTGGTGACCTGCCCAGCAATAAGCCTGTGATTGTCCTTTAGATACTGTAATGTAATTTTCTAAAAAAATCTTTTTTTATCTGCACAAGATATTTGAAGCTCTAAGTAACAGTAAAAAGAAGTTTCAAACATTTTATTTTTTATGCTACAGCTTTGTCTGTCTAGTGTCCGTGAGGCATGTTTTTTCTTCTCAAGAGATAGAAGATTTATTCTCTCCACATTCCTTGAATGCCAGATGGTATTATGGAGTATTTGAAAGGGGGGTTCCTTACCCGTTTTCTTGAGTTATAATGGATAGCTGGCAAGTTGGTAGCATCGTGCCACTAAAGGAGAAAATAAGAAAGACCAAGAGCTCCAGGGAGTTAGCTATAACAGCAGATGGGTCATTGGGTTGGCTTTGAAAAGATCTGGCAGTGCCAAGGTCATGACTATTTCAAGAATCACTGGTCCTACATTTTACATTTACATTTACTTATTTGGCAGACGCTTAAATCCAAAGCGACTTACAAGTAACAAGTCCAACAAGTACTGCAGCTACTCTAAATAATCTATTTGATCATCACTGACTGATTTATGATGCAAAAACACAACAAATCCACCTTAGAATCATGAGACACATAAAATGGGCTGGTGCTAGGACCCTGCGGTGACGTTGCGTGGTTCAGAATCTCCTTCACAATGTAGACTGCATGCACAAGGCAGTAGTCAGTATTCTGAATGAATAATCATTTCTATGCAAATTTTCCAACTCTAAACCATATAAACTTGAATTCTTATTGGAGTTAATTATTTTCAGGTGATATGTATTTGTGTAATGAGGGAGGGTGTGGCGAAATGAATCACACCTTATATCAAGGTGTGCATGATTATTAGGCAGATTCATTACTTCAGGTAAAAAAGAGATTTAACTGACACTGCAAAGTCAAAAATTGTCACACGGATGCAACACTCTTGAAATAACTAAACTTTTGAGGAGAGACCACCGGACAATCAAACCTTTTGTAGTGAATAGTCAGAAAAGGCGCAAATGTATCTGGAGTGACCACAACTACAAGGTGCCAGGTGCTCAGAGACATGGCCAAGGTGAGGAAGGCTAAAACACTGCCACCACTGAATAAAACACAGTTAAAGAAGAAAACACAACTCACAAGTTAAAGATTGAAATTGAGAAAAGAAATACCAGAACACAGATTTAAGAAAGGTTTAACTCTTAATGGACCAGTTGAATGGGCTCGTGGCTGGATCACTGATGTCCATCAGGGGTACTATTATGGGCTGCTATCATTAAGAATGAGATAGTTGGACCTATTTGGTTTGAAGATGGACTGAAATTCCAAACCTCCCAAACCTACTGCCAGTTTCTGGTAGATACTTTCTTACAGGAAGAAGCCTTCAGCATTCAAAAAGGCCCTTTATACAGGACAATGATCCAACACATGCATCCAAGTACCCCACTGCCAGGCTAGCCACAAGGGCCTTAAAGATGCCTGAATAATGGCACCCTTTTCTCACCTGACTTGAATTCTATTGAGAACTTGTGGGCCCTTCCCAAATGTCAGATTTACAGTCAGGGAAGACAATACACCTCTTTGAACAGCATTTGGGAGGCTGTGGTTGCTGCTTCACTAAAAGTTGAGCGTGAACTGGTCAAGAAACTGACAGACTCAATGGATGGAAGGCAGTTATTGAAAAGAAGGGTGGCCATATTGCTAAATATTTTTGAAAGGCCAAAAAGTTTATTTAATTATAATTTTGTGTTGTTACACAAAAATTTGAGAATAAACAAGAAATTTTAATCGAAATTATTTTGTAATTTTGTTGCCCAATAATTCTGCACACTTGTATTTTCTCCTTAGCAGGACAAAACTCATGTTTCCTTAGTTAAACATTCAGGTTTGAGGTTCAATTATATTTTGGATAGACTGAGATCATTGTGTTTGTTCAATGATAAAATTAATCCTGAGGAATACAATTTCCCTAATAATTGTGCGCGCAGCGTGTGTGCACTGTTTAGAAACCAGTAACATGATGTAGAGGGTGTTCTATAACCAGTCAGCCACAAATAAAGAAGGCAGAAACACTGTGTAATGGTAATATGATCTGATGCCCTACAATATATGAATACTAAAAAAAGTACATCACTATCATTACATTGGCCGCATTTGTAAATTAGTTTCTATGGTTCAGAATCTTTATTATCGTCTGACTCATTTTTCTAGCCCATTCAAGCGCTAAATGGATCAGAAAAAAACACTTATACAGTGAAAACAGACTGAACACAATAAAATGCTAACAGTGACACAAATGTTAAATTAAATTAAAATAATATTTACAGGACTTCAACCACTGTTATGCATAAGAATTTGTTCCTTCTGTACACCAAACACTGAAAAAAACCCAAAATGTCTTTATTGCTGTTGCAATACACTGCTCAGACCATCATGCACAACCTTTTTCCAAGACTATTTCACAGATGACATTTTGACACATCACAGTTAGAAAGGCCCATGTGTAAATAATAAAATCAATGATGGCTAAATTCCAATTTGCAGCTTCAGATTCAATGTCCTTGTATTGTTCCTGCTGGCTCACTGTAACAGCTTACTGGGACACTTGAATAGAACAGAGTCATCGTTAATATCATTAATGACAATTGTACAGTCACACAACATGAAGGTCCACACATAGGTGAGGACAAAGAGTTCATCAGTCTAACTAACCAATCATGGCATCATTGATCAGTTCATCAACAATGTTAACCTGGTGGAGACAATGATATAAATAATTAATTTAACCAGTCACATCATCCTATATGCAATTCTGGTTGACAACAAAAAAGTCTACAATGTTAAATTAAGACAAAGCTGATCATTCACACTGCTTGGTTGATGGGTTTTGAACATTCACTGACCTCAGGTTATTATGGCAGATGTTCAATGTGACCTCCCCTGTCTGGAGGTTTGACTTCTCCCCTGCTACAAAAGAAAGGTGTTTAAAAATCTGATGTTCACATTTAAAGTCATTAAAGTGAACTGCAATAGAATACGTATTTCTGTAATTTCAGTGGAGAGCCAGGACAAATGAAACACAGGATGAAAGTAACACAGCAATTTTCTCAGAGCCCATTCAAGTCTGATATGTCAAACTACATAAGCACATAAACAGCAATACAGAACCGTGAAAAATCTGGTGGATACATCACACTTTTGTGTAGTTCTATCGAAGAAGCTGTTTTCAATCAATCAACAAGTTTTTTTTATGACACGTTGTGTTTATGGTTTCATGTGTCATTGTCATGATCATATGTCCTGAAGTTTGCATTGCATTGATTTTAAGGCCATATGTTTTTTTAATTTAATTTAATATATTTTTAGTAAGATTAAGAGCATAATATGTTTGCAATTACATAGTAAGAAGGACAATGTCAGACATTTTAAATAAAAACAACATAACATAACATAACATCCATCCATCCATCCATCGTCAACCGCTTATCCTGCATTCAGGTTCGTGTAGAGTGTAGAGACAGTGGTTCATAGGAGTATGAGAGGGAAGCTAAAAGCCACACTCTCATCCTCTCTATGCTGAGCTGAGGCAGCTCAGGAGCCCTTTCAGCCACAGACTTATCCAGCCCTGTGCCTCAAAGCGCCTAGGAGGCTCATATGTGCCATCTGCCATCACACTCCACAACGCCACAGCACCCAATACATCCCATCTCCACTGACAGACTTGACACAATTGTTGTTGTATTTGATTGTATATAGTGCATATCTATTTATACATCTACATAGAATGTTAACTGATTCTACTTTTATTGTATTTTGTTCTTCTTTTTACATTCCCCTGTGATGACTTTTATTGACTTTTGAATTATTAATGGATTAATAACTGTTACATCATCGATCTTGTTTTTTTTTTACAAAATAGCACTTGGTATTGATAGAACACTATTGTGAGTTGTTAATCATAACAAAAATTGTTTCTGTTGTAATGTTATCTTTTAATATGACTTTTATCTAAAATGTTTAAATCCTTTCAGCTCTCAGTTTTCTCCTCACTTCACTAACAAGGACCACGCCAATGTTAGATTTATAGTGGTTTATTATGATGAATAGTTATGGAAGGAGGGGTTGAGAGAAGAGGGATGAAGGGTTTGAGAGAAGAGGAATGAAGGGTTCGAGAGAAGAGGGATGAAGGGGTCGAGGGATGAAGGGTTCGAGAGAAGAGGGATGAAGGGGTCGAGGGATGAAGGGTTCGAGAGAAGAGGGATGAAGGGGTCGAGGGATGAAGGGTTCGAGAGAAGAGGGATGAAGGGTTTGAGAGAAGAGGGATGAAGGGGTCGAGGGATGAAGGGTTCGAGAGAAGAGGGATGAAGGGGTCGAGGGATGAAGGGTTCGAGAGAAGAGGGATGAGGGGGTCGAGGGATGAAGGGTTCGAGAGAAGAGGGATGAGGGGGTCGAGAGGGGAGGGATGAAAAGGGGTCGAGAGAAGAGGGATGAAGGGGTCGAGGGATGAAGGGTTCGAGAGAAGAGGGATGAGGGGGTCGAGAGGGGAGGGATGAAAAGGGGTTGAGAGAAGAGGGATGAGGGGTTCAAGAGAAGAGGGATGAGGGGGTCGAGAGAAGAGTGATGAAGGGTTCGAGAGAAGAGGGATGAAGGGTTCGAGAGAAGAGTGATGAAGGGTTCGAGAGAAGAGGGATGAAGGGTTCAAGAGAAGAGTGATGAAGGGTTCGAGAGAAGAGGGATGAAGGGTTCAAGAGAAGAGGGATGAAGGGGTCGAACAGGTTGTTTAGGGTTTGGTGGCCGGAGCGGCTAGGAGATTCAGGGTGGGGGCTCGTCTCGATAAGCAGCTTAGTCTTATGAACCCCCCTGTGGTTCCTGTTGTAGAAGAAGACAAAATGATTACTAGGCAGAATTATGGATTTTAGCGTGCATGTCTTTCATGGTGGGAGGAAGCCGGAGCACCCGGGGGACACCCACTCAAAGCGGGGAGAACATGCAAACTCTGTGCAGAGAGGCCTGGGCTGAGCGAGGTCTAAACTCTTCTGCTGTGCTGGTCACTGGGCCACCGTGCTGCCCATTAAAAGAGGTGAACAAGCAGGGTTTGGGTGGGAGGGATATGGGAACTGAGAAACGGGAGAGAAGACGGGTTAGACGGCTTATATATGTGAGTGCATGTGACTGGATTTGAGAAGCACAGGTGGATGGAATGAGTGGAGTACGGGTGGTTGATTGGAGGAATTGAATGAAGCACAGGTGGTAGAATATGTGAGGGAGGCATGGTCCTGTTCCTGAACCTCAGTTTACATAACTCCATTAATGCACAGTTTGTTTCAGAGATGGAGAGGTTTGACTAATGTAAGCCTTAAGAGGACAACCAGCCTCAGGCAAACAACCATTAATCCTAACCCCTAACCCTGATCAAGGTTTTCCAGCTTTTCTTTTAAATGGTTAGATATATGGGTTTCCCTGAGAATTAAGACAAAAATAAATGTTGACATTAAATGACCTGGCTTTGTATTCCCAGTGGTTTCCCGAGTTTTGCTGTCAAGCCAGCAGAGTTCTCTTGTCTCTTTGGCTCCAAATGAGAATTGATGCTGCAAGTCTTTAGAGGGAAGGTGTTTCTTTCTTTATAAGTCAGAATCATAATGCTATAGACCTGGTACATGTGCAAGCACACAGTCATGGACTTTACTGGTATTATTATCACTGAGTGTAAGGAACATTTTGTGGTTGTCTTCTTCTGATTCCATCAGGTTGTTGTCTTAGATAATTTACACCACTGGACAATAGAGCTGGTTGTCAGAAAAAGTATTATTATTGCTTTCTTCTCGGGCTCCATGATTTCTAGGTGTTCAAAGCGATTTCAGACATAGACTCTTAAAGCCGATACGTTCATGCATTTCACAATGATGAGCCAAATTTGAATAATAACTCAATGATCAGTTATTAAACAGAGTGGCAGTAAAGGCCTCAGTATGCAGCAAACAAAGTGCTTCAAACGAAGGAATCAGATGGGTAACTTTTTTTGTCACCTGGTGTGATAATCCAATCATCTAAACCCTGACTGACTGCAGGTTCTACTTTAGATCAGACTAGTGCTGTAGTACTCAAGACCAGTCTTGGTCTTGAGACCGGTCTTAAGACAATATATTGATGGTCTTGTCTGTGACTCGACCACATTTGTACTCAGTCTTGTCTCGGTCTTGGACATTTAGGACTCAGGATTTTATTTCAAGACCAGTCAAGACCATAACTTTGGGAATATCAATAAATTGCTTTTGCATTGTCTGATTTATTTGTTAACATCCTAACTTTGATTGAATTTAAAACGTATTGCTTTAAATGCAACAAATAACCCTAATTAAACATGTGTTGTTCCCGTTAACGGCTGTCCCCTCTCCCCACGATGGTAAACGTGGAAAAGGAGTGTTGAATAAAGATGCTTACGTTGATTTCGCTTCTTAGTGTTTGTATGTGGCCGTTTTTATGGGAATCTGGATCTTTCAGATCAATTTGAGAAGTACCTATGATCAGGTTTCACATTTTACTGTGTGTCATGTATGTGGGGAACTGGTCTTGGTCTCGACTCGGTCTCGCCCTCCATCGGTCTTGAACTTAACTTGGTCACAGCACCTAAAAGTCTTGGTCTTGTCTCGGTCTCGATAAACCCTGGTCTTGGTCTTGACTTGGTCTCGGTTTGGGCGGTCTTGACAACAACATTAGATCAGACATACAAATACACTTTGAAATTCACTGTCACAGAGCTCTGTCAATTTCAGTGAGTTGGTATGGGAAGCAAAGTAGTTGGGGAAACCCCAAACGAAGCTGAGTAACTTCTGTACGGTCAAGAAACATATGAAAGCCAGGAACATTTCTATTTTTCATTCTTGACTTACTCAGGTTGGCAAACATGATGGTTTAAAAAAATATTTCCAAGTGCAATCAGCAGTTTAACCTTTGGAAACAGAACCACAAGACCTACTGTAGAAAATTTAAAGAATCATTTTTCAGGCTGTTTTGATGGTGCTCTATTTGTTCTGCTCTATATCTTTTTAATATCCTGGTGAGCCAGATGACTTACTCTCACGCCTCCACCTCTCTGTCTTTCTCAGGTATTGTGTCGCTGATCTCTCTGGTGATCCTCTCCTACGACCGCTACAGCACTATGACTGTATACAACAGGCATGGTCCAAACTACCGCAAGCCCCTGCTAGCGGTCGGGGGCTCTTGGCTATACTCCTTGTTCTGGACAGTGCCCCCATTGCTGGGCTGGAGCAGCTATGGCATAGAGGGTGCAGGAACCAGTTGCTCTGTGTCCTGGACAGTTCAGACGGCTCAGTCGCACGCCTACATCATCTGCCTCTTCATTTTCTGCCTGGGTATACCTGTCCTGGTAATGATCTACTGCTATAGCAAGCTGTTATGGGCAGTCAAACAGGTAGATAGACATTGTTTTTTTTGCATGTTTGTGTGTTACTATTTATAGTATTTTCCTGTCTGATGTTGAAGGCAAATCCACAAATTGCGTAGTCATTGTAATTCAATATACTTTTTGTGTAGTTCAGCGAGTATTTCCTCTTGCTTTGCTAGCTCTCAGTTTTGTATGTGATCTGGGGAAAAGAAAATCAGTTTTTGCCACACAGCCCTGGCTCTGTAAATGGAAAACAAAGAAAGTTGTGCGGACCTTCCCCACAACACATTAGTGCTTGTGCACAGTATCAGTGGCAGAGAGTACACCAGCACATTTAAACATGAAAAAAAACTTTTTCAATGCTGGAGAAGCCTCAGAGCTTTAAACAACAACAGTTTTTTTTTCTCACAAACTTTGGTGGGCGGAGCTTCTGAGTGAGCACAGAATCATTTACCCTGCCTTTAAAGGTCCAGTGTGTAATATTTCTGAGGCTCTATTGACACAAATGACAATATAAGATCCATAGCTATGTTTTCAGTGGTGTGTAAAGACCTTACATAATGAACCATTATGTTTTTATTACCTTAGAATGAGACATTTATATCTACATAACCCCTGCTGTGGAGGTCGCTGTATTTTGTCGTCATGTTTCTACCGTAGCCATCAACAAACAAACAGCGCTACAGAGTGCATTTCGTCATCACGGCGTTCTTCTTCTGCTTGTGTAATTCCAGTAGTGTAGACACCCGTCACTACATTGAATACGTACAAAGAAGAAGAAGAGGGACTAATCCATCCATCCATCCATTGTCAAAAATAAAATACAGTCTCTGAGTAGTCTTCTGGTTTATTAGAAGGAAGAAGAGAAGTGACATTTGGACAACTATAGGAGCACACGTTATTTAGCACGAGAGCCGACAGCCTGACGGAGTTGGGACAGATAGCTGACAGCAAATCACGGATTTTGGAAAGCTATAACGTTAATGTGGGACAGATGTTTTCAAAGCAGAGCTGAAGTTGTCTGTTTTCTGCTGGACAGGTAATTAACTTTGTTTGTCAGACTTTACCGATGCAAATGAAAAATGATGGTTGAGAGCTTTAGCTATTAGCTGGCCAGTGAGAGGTTTCCCCTGTCAGTGGTGTGAAATATGGATTAATTTCATGGTGCCTACTCATTCTCCAGCCTGTGGTTTGGCTTTGCTGGTTATGGTTACTTTAGCGAGACAATCAGCTGATCAGTAACGTTAATAAGCAATAAAAACAATTATTATTATTTATTATTATATAATAAAACCGTAACGTTAGCTTCAAACGGAGAATTAAAACGAATACGATCTCCGTCCACACCAGCGTTTCCACTGCGTTTTTGTTGCATGGATCAATAACGAGCTGGGACTGTTAACGTTACTGAATGTAACACGGGAGTGTGGGGTCAGAAAACAGACTGGGAGTTGTTGCAAAGTGTGGTATCCAATATTTGTGCATTTGACTCATAACAGTTCAAAATAGCACTGTAGCAGCAGGGCAGAGGGTCAGTGACCTTCTACGGGGAGAGTAATGATTGGTGGTTATGTAGGGACTGAACCCTTCTATAGAATTTGACCTCTAACCCCTTGTTTTGTTACCTCAGAATAGTACTGTACCCTTATATGGGTTGGAGCTTTATTTTGCAGACTCAAACCCCTCTATGGTTCCTAACAGATACCTAAACACATCCTATATAAGCTATGTTTGAAGTACAGAGAGACAGAGTGGCCATCGGGCTGGGTCACTCTCCAAGCTGCTGCAGAGCTTGTAATTGATGCTGAACTCCCTGATGTAATAAATCTTTATGATCAAGAAAAGTGTCAAGAGGATTTCTTCTCAACACATCATCGCAGCATTATTGTTCGGACACCACAAAAGTGAACGGCGACATGCACAGTACAAGTGTAGGCAGATGAGTGTTATTTGCACGGTACAGTATATTATTAATAATATATAGTATAATATTTTAATAAAAATATGATGTCAAAAACCCAGTCAGCAGCATTGTTTTTCTGCTTTGCAAGACCCAATCAGATAGCCGAGCGTGAGCGGCTGCGTCATCATTTCTAAAGTCCTCCGTTTTGGCCCGTCTTCATTAAAACGCCCTACGGAGTTTTGAAACGCAAAACGGGGTCGGCAGCGTTTCTAAACTTCTCCGTTTTAGGTCTTCGTTTTCATCGTTGTAGTCTAGACCGGAGGCGCAAACGTAGTAAAAGGTCTCCGTTTTAATTCAAAAACGCAGTAGTGTGGACGGGGCCTTAGAGCATGGAAGCACCAGCCAGCTAAACTTTTACTGACTGGTAGAAAAACATTTATTGTTAGTTGGACTGGTTTGTTCTCTAGCGCTGTGCTTTGGCTTGTGGTGTTATGTTAGTTGGATAAATTTCATGTAGTTACTCTCTCTCTCCAGCGCTCTTTTTTGGTTTTGTTACGTTCGTGAGACAATCAGCTGATCTCTAATAGACAATAAAACAGCAGCTTCCAGCATGGGAGCTCAGATCAGCCAGCTAAACTTTTGCTGGTAAAAAAAATATGTAGGTGGATCGTAACTTCATGTAGTTATTCTCCAGCTCTCTGTTATGGCTTTGTTAAGTGGACAGAAATGTACCGTTACCTTCGTGAGACAAACAGCTGATGAATATTATTGCTAATGAAACGGTAACAGCAGGGAAGGTCAGATCAGCAACTAAACTTCACATTTTACTGCCCTGGTGTAAAACATGTATTTCTTTTTACTGCTAATGGTGATATATAACAAGACCGTGTGCCTATCAAGTGACCAATAATGAATACTTTCCGAATTTGCATTAAAACTTATTGGATATTGCTTCCCATATGCTAAATGCCCATTAAGAACGTTGCACCGTTTTACCACAAGCTGAAATTATGGCTGTCAGTACTACTTTGTGTTTCTGTTGTATTTCAAAAAATTAAAAAAGACATTTTGGTAATATTTACATGCTTATCTAATTAAGCAAAGCGAAAAGAACCTTGATCCTCCCCAGCCAATGCCTTTGTAAACGTCATGTATTATGTGGTTTATAATGGACTGTGGCGCAGAAACAGTGAGGCTTAAATGGTCCTGGTATCTGTCAGTGGTCATACTGGATGCACTAGATGTGATCTCATAGATGACTTTTATCTCATAGATTACATTTTTGTCCTGTCTCAGGCCCGTTGCTATACTGCTCGCTTGGGTAGGGGAAGGGGGGTGCAATTCGCAGCCCTCACCACTAGATGTTACTAGAACTTACACACTGAATCTTTAAATTGATACTACACCAAAATCTTCTTAAGTAGCGAATAGTGAAATAGTTTGTGGTTTAGTTTATCACAAAGAACAGTAGGTTGTTAGTTTTAATTCATGTCAGTTATAACTAACTCCAATGGGATCCAGTTTTTAAGGTGAAAAACATCCCGTGAAACCTCTGATGCCTGCATTCCTCTGTTTTGACAGTGACACACAGCAAGTGCAGAACCCATGGCTCGACAGATGTCTGCCGGAGAGCAAACATTAAGATATAGTATTGGGTGACCTTATAGAAAACAAATGAACAGTTATGATCATCTCTGTACCAGACTTTGCTGACCTACTGGTAATAACACCATAGTGGTCCACGTCTTCACATACCCAACTAGGGCACTGACGCATGTGGCCCCTCACTTTCATGTGACACTGATTATACAGGCCATGGAAGAGGCATTTTTAGTAATGAGTCTGGTCATCTTAGTGACCAGAAATATCCAGAAGCAAAAAGCAAAGTCTCCATGTCCTCTGCCAGTACCACAGAAATAGCTCCTGTACTTTCCCAAAGAGAGCATCCCACATGCCCTCCCTCCTGAGTGGAGGATGTGTCTCTCACATCACAGTGAAAGAAGGTGCTATATCCCAAAAGTACTCCAAATATACAGTAGGTTTTGTTCCATACGTTTGGTTTGACTGCATGACACCTAATAAATACTGTCATGGCATATGCAGCTAAACCATCCCAATGTTCTCCACCATCCCAATTTGGTGCCACGCAGGAAAGGTGAATGGCTCCCTGCCAATCATTTTAAAATCCTGGGATTTTCCACATCCATCACGGACATCTCACATATCCAACTGAGGGAGGGTGACAGATGACATGATATGATGATGTGACAATGAAACTTACAGCACAGCTATAATGCAGTTTGATTGAAGAATTTTTAGTCCAAATATATCAACAGTAAATGTCACGTTTGGGTGACAATTCATAAATCAAGGAGAGTCACAGCTATAGTACCTTTTCTCCACTCCAAGCTAAGACTCAGACTTTTCCACTTCTCCATGCACCTTAGAAGTAGGAGAAGTTGTGTCAGAAATCCCTCCTCTGCCTCTACAGCACTAAATATTTTTCAAATATTTCTCTGCAAAGTAATTTCCATTTTTGATAAATGTTTATCCTGCTCAAGGTCATGGGGGACAAGACAAAAATAATTGCAATAAGTTGGACATGGACTTTAACAACAAGCTCTTGGTGTGAGATGACAGTGCTACCGGAGAGCTAGACAAACACCAACAGAAATCTACTGATCACAAAATAACTCCTGGAAAGCATCAAACTGTGTGTGTTGAAGGATTTCTTAGTCCTGTTTTTTTACTACCAATCCTGATCTAAGTCCTCAAGTACTAAGTGCCAATCAGGGACGTGCACAGACATTTTGGTGGGCATGGGCTCAAGTGAAAAAACAAAGCATTAAATATATTAACACAACTCTGACTTCCTTCCAATTTATTTTAATTCCCTCACTCTCACGCAATTGTTTAATACTCAACATTTCCACTTTTCTACAAAATATTCAGTTCACACAGAGACCACCGTCTTCTTTAGTATTCATTAGGTTTATCACAGGAGCAGGCAACAGCAAAAGAAACCATGCCACAATGTGCATGTTTTCTATGCTACAAGTTTCAAGTATATATTTAGAATAAATGGCATAGTTTCATCAATAATTTGTTAATTTTTCACAAGGCA